CAGAAGGCTATAGTTATAACTTTGAAGAAAGATGATGGTGTAGAAATTATCCAAAAACATTTCTTTAATGTTCCTTTGAAAATGCCCTTCCTGGTCAGCTTGATATAAATGGGAAATTCACTGAGCCCTTCATAGCAGCTTGAACTTGTTATTCCATGCATTGTCATCAATAACATTATATTTGCTGAACTAATTAGCGGTTAGAGTTGTCCCCCCTTCACAATTTGCTTGAAAGGGTCATCTGCTCATTGTGTTAGAAGGCCAAGCAGCTGAAGCTTCTTTGATGACATATTGTTACTGAGATGAAACTGTCAAGGTAAATGATGCCTTCATATTTACTTTTTTGTGTGTAATTTTCCCCAGAAACCAATGCTACCTGATGTGGATATGGTTGTCAGGCTCAATGACCTAGTCATTGTTCAGAATCAAGTCTCAATGATTGCAGGTGTGGCTGCTTATGATCTCAATAACTGGATTGTCTGGTACAACTCAGTTATTTACAAATATCATGTAGCTAGAATATTGTGTAGCAACAAACAACAAACAAGCAAAAACAATTTATGCCAGCTTTGGATTAGGGAATTTGTGTGATAAATGTAGTCAAGGAAATTAAAACATGCAATATTGCCCCAATGCTTTTAGATTTTGCCCATAAGTATGAAGTATAAGAACCCAAAAGAAAATAATAAATTCCATTAAAATATAGATTTTAAACTTGTTCCACTTCAAACACATTTGGTTGAGGGAATATAAGTAATACTATTGAACAAATCTCTTAAAATTAGTACTGTAGATCAGCCCAGTGTGCTCTTACATATGAAGTGTGATTTGCTATGAGCAGCCAAAATGAAATCAGAAGATTCCATTGATTGTAATCTGGTTGAATCTGTATGTATTATACTAATATTGTACAGATTCTCTGAAAATAAGAGATATTGTCCTGTTCAAGATTCAGCCCACAATTTTTAAATGTAAGATTATTCTGTTAGTATTAGACTTAGGAGACATTATCCCTCTCCTGGTCAAAGGCATACAGGATTAAATCAAGTTAACTCTCTTAAAGTTGTACTAATTAATGGCCTATTTGCTTTCATAGTCTGCTTTCTACATGTCTGAAATATGATCTACTATCATCAGATTTTAAAGTTGTTTTCCTTTATCTAATTAAGGGCATATGAATAGTATAAAATAGTTTTAAAATCTCTAAACATTGGCAATATTGACCTGTTGCATGTAGACTCTGTTTCACAAGTTTCACATATGACTAAATACTATCAACAGCCAAGAGGAATCTTTAGATTCGATAACTGTAATTCAAGCAGATATTGTCACAACAAGGAATAAGAATGCCATAATAACTTTACCAGATAGATATAACATGAACCTAACAGTTTACACACTCACACCCATTCAGCTTGAGTCAAATAACTATCACCCTTCAAGGGCATCACGCACAGCACACAGTTTAGACACAAATCAAACATTGCACAATCACTGTTTCCCTCAAAATACTAAAGGTTACTACATGCAAATCACTAATACATTAATAGTGTGCTAACAATCAACCCTTCTCATACAATACATCCAACTGTAGATTTTTAAGGCATATTCCCACTCTTGGTTAAGGACATGTGAGTATCATTATTACTATTTCATTATTAATGCTATACTATTATTTCATTCAGAATTTGCTGACAAGTTGGAATTGTTATTTACCACCATAAGCTCAGAGGAAATCTTGAAATTCCATAAACTGTAAGTTTTAAAGGCTTTATCCCACTTTGAGCAAAGGGCATGTCATTCATGATAACAGTTAAAAGTCTCTGAAAATGAGAACTATTGACCCAGTAAATTCATAATTTGCTCACAGGTTTGAAATGTTATTCAATATCATCAGCCAAGATACCATTTTGAAATTGTATAAACTGTAAGTTTTAAAGACATTATCCTACTTATGCTCACAGGCACGTGATTAATAATAATAGTTAAAAATCTCTGAAAATTTGAACTATTGACCCAGTATCATCAGCCAAGAAAACTTCTTGAAATGCCATAAACTGTAGGTTTTAAAGGCATTATCCCACTTCTGGTCAAAGGCACTTGATTAATAATAATAGTTAAAAATCTCTGTAAAATAAAATGATAGACCCAGTACATTAATAATTTGCTCCGAGGTTTGAAATGCTAATCTATATCATCAGCCCAGACAACTTCTTGAAATTCCATAAACTGTAGGTTTGAAAGGCATTATCCCACTTCTGGTCAAATGCATATGATAACTAATAATAGTTAAATATTTCTGAAAATTTGAATTATTGACCCAGTGCATTAATACTTTACTTGTAGGTTTGAAATGCTATTTCCTATCATCAGCCAAGAAAACTTCTTGAAATGCCATAAACTGTAGGTTTTAAAGGCATTATCCCACTTCTGGTCAAATGTATGTAATTAATAATAATAGTTAAAAATCTCTGTAAAATAGAATGATAGACCCAGTACATTCATAATTTGCTCCAAGGTTTGAAATACCATTCAATATCATCAGCCCAGACACCTTCTTGAAATTCCATAAACTGTAGGTTTTAAAGGCATTATCCCACTTCTGGTCAAAGGCACGTGATTCATAATAATAGTTTAAAATCTCTGAAAATTTGTATTATTGACCCAGTACATTAATAATTTACTTGTAGGTTTGAAATGCTATTTCCTATCATCAGCCAAGAAAACTTCGTGAAATGCCATATACTGTAGGTTTTAAAGGCATTATCCCACTTCTGGTCAAATGTATGTAATTAATAATAATAGTTAAAAATCTCTGTAAAATAGAATGATAGACCCAGTACATTCATAATTTGCTCAGAGGTTTGAAATGCTAATCTATATCATCAGCCAAGAAAACTTCTTGAAATACCATAAACTGTAGGTTTTAAAGGCATTATCCCACTTCTGGTCAAAGGCACGTGATTCATAATAATAGTTAAAAATCTCTGAAAATTTGAATTATTGATCCAGTACATTAATAATTTACTTGTAGGTTTGAAATGCTATTTCCTATCATCAGCCAAGAAAACTTCTTGAAATGCCATAAACTGTAGGTTTTAAAGGCATTATCCCACTTCTGGTCAAATGTATGTAATTAATAATAATAGTTAAAAATCTCTGTAAAATAGAATGATAGACCCAGTACATTCATAATTTGCTCAGAGGTTTGAAATGCTAATCTATATCATCAGCCCCGACAGCTTCTTGAAATTCCATAAACTGTAGGTTTTAAAGGCATTATCCCACTTCTGGTCAAATGTATGTAATTAATAATAATAGTTAAAAATCTCTGTAAAATAGAATGATAGACCCAGTACATTCATAATTTGCTCAGAGGCTTGAAATGCTAATCTATATCATCAGCCCCGACAGCTTCTTGAAATTCCATAAACTGTAGGTTTTAAAGCATTATCCCACTTCTGGTCAAAGGCACGTGATTAATAATAATAGTTTAAAATCTCTGTAAAATAGAATGATAGACCCAGTACATTCATAATTTGCTCAGAGGTTTGAAATGCTAATCTATATCATCAGCCCAGACAGCTTCTTGAAATTCCATAAACTGTAGGTTTTAAAGGCATTATCCCACTTCTGGTCAAAGGCACGTGATTAATAATAATAGTTAAAAATCTCTGTAAAATAGAATTATTGACCCAGTAAATTCATAATTTTCTCAGAGGTTTGAAATGCTAATCTATATCATCAGCCCCGACAGCTTCTTGAAATTCCATAAACTGTAGGTTTTAAAGGCATTATCCCATTTCTGGTCAAATGCATGTGATTAATAATAATAGTTAAAAATCTCTGAAAATTTGAATTATTGACCCAGTACATTAATAATTTACTTGTAGGTTTGAAATGCTATTTCCTATCATCAGCCCAGACAACTTCTGGAAATTCCATAAACTGTAGGTTTTAAAGGCATTATCCCACTTCTGGTCAAATGCATATGATAACTAATAATAGTTAAACATCTCTGAAAATTTGAATTTTTGACCCAGTACATTAATAATTTACTTGTAGGTTTGAAATGCTATTTCCTGTCATCAGCCAAGAAAACCTCTTGAAATTCCATAAACTGTAGGTTTTAAAGGCATTATCCCACTTCTGGTCAAAGGCACGTGATTAATAATAATAGTTAAAAATCTCTGAACATTTGTATTATACACCCAGTACGTTAATAGTTTACTTGTAGGTTTGAAATGCTATTTCCTATCATCAGCCAAGAAAACGTCTTGAAATTCCATAAACTGTAGGTTTTAAAGGCATTATCCCATTTCTGGTCAAATGCATGTGATTAATAATAATAGTTAAAAATTTAGAATTTCAGCTTAGTGTATTTCCATTTCTTTCATGTAAATCTGCACATGGTAACTTTGAAATATAATGAAGATATGGCATCTGCAAAGCTTTAAAAGTCATATTTCAGTCATTCCTCCATTTACAGTTTCCAGTTACAGAGTTAGATATTAACATAAGCCTTCTTGCCCTTCTGCCCCTCTGTATCAAAACTCAATAGAGTCACAAACACTTGGGATGGACTCCATTTCTGAACTTTCATTGTTGAGATGCTTGTAATTCAAGTTCTTGAATTTCTCAATCAGAAAATGACATGCTTCTTTCACTGCTTCGTACAAAGTGTGGTGTGGTGTTGTACTGTGAAGAAAACAGAAAGACATAATCAATGTACCATGTTTGCATTAACTAACTACATCAAAAACATTCAAGAAAATGGCCACCAACATACTTAAAAACCATGGAAAGTACTTTGAATAACTTGGAATGGCAGTTGCCAAGTGAGTGGATTGAACAAGAGTGGAGTGGAGAGGAGTGGGTGGTGCAAGTGAAATGAGAGAGTGCGTGGATGGGTTGGGGAATGAGTGAGTGAGTGAGTGAGTGAGAGAAGTTGAGTGGAGTTGACTTGAGAGGAGTGGGTGGTGTGAGGGAAGAGGGTCTAGTGAGAGTAGCATAGTTGGGGAGTGACTGGAGCGGAGTGAGTCGAGTGAGGGAAGAGGGTGTAGTGAGAGTAGCGTAGTGGGTGGAGTGAGTCGAGTGAGGGAAGAGCGTGTACTGAGAGTAGCGTAGTGGGTGGAGTGACTGGAGCGGAGTGAGTGGAGCGAGGGAAGTAGTGGAGTGACTGGTGCGGAGTGAGTGGAGCGAGGGAAGTAGTGGAGTGACTGGTGCGGAGTGAGTGGAGCGAGGGAGAGCGTGTACTGAGAGTAGCGTAGTGGGTGGAGTGACTGGTGCAGAGTGAGTCGAGCGAGGGAAGAGCGTGTACTGAGAGTAGTGTAGTGGGTGTATCCGGTGAGGAGTGAGTCGAGCGACGGAAGAGGGTGTAGTGAGAGTAGTGTAGTGGGTGGAGTGGGTGGAGCGGAGTGAGTCGAGCGAGGGAAGAGGGTGTAGTGAGAGTAGTGTAGTGGGTGTATCCGGTGAGGAGTGAGTCGAGCGACGGAAGAGGGTGTAGTGAGAGTAGTGTAGTGGGTGGAGTGGGTGGAGCGGAGTGAGTCGAGCGAGGGAAGAGGGTGTAGTGAGAGTAGTGTAGTGGGTGGAGTGACTGGAGCGGAGATAGTCGAGCGAGGGAGGAGCGTGTACTGAGAGTAGCGTAGTGAGTGGAGTGACTGGAGCGGAGTGAGTCGAGCGAGGGAAGTAGTGGAGTGACTGGTGCGGAGTGTGTCGAGCGAGGGAAGAGGGTGTACTGAGAGTAGTGTAGTGGGTGGAGTGACTGGAGCAGAGTGAGTCGAGCGAGGGAAGAGCGTGTACTGAGAGTAGCGTAGTGGGTGGAGTGACTGGAGCAGAGTGAGTCAAGCGAGGGAAGAGGGTGTAGTGAGAGTAGCGTAGTGGATGGAGTGACTGGAGCGGAGTGAGTGGAGCGAGGGAAATGGGTGTAGTTAGAGTAGCGTAGTGGGTGGAGCGGAGTGAGTCGAGCGACGGAAGAGGGTGTAGTGAGAGTAGTGTAGTGGGTGGAGTGACTGGGCGGAGTGAGTTGGCGAGGAGGGAAGAGGGTGGAGTGAGAGTAAAGTAGTGAGTGGAGTGACTGGAGCGGAGTGAGTCGAGCGAGGAAAGAGGGTGTAGTGAGAGTAGTGTAGTGGGTGGAGTGGGTGGAGCCGGAGTGAGTCAAGCGACGGAAGAGGGTGTAGTGAGAGTAGCATAGTAGGCGGAGTTACTGGAGCGGAGTGAGTCGAGCGACGGAAGAGGGGTGTAGTGAGAGTAGTGTAGTGGGTGGAGTGGGTGGAGCAGAGTGAGTCGAGCGAGGGAAGAGGGTGTAGTGAGAGTAGTGGAGTGGGTGGAGTGGAGTGAGTCGAGCGAGGGAAGAGGGTGTAGTGAGAGTAGTGTAGTGGGTGGAGTGGGTGGAGCGGAGTGAGTCGAGCGAGGGAAGAGGGTGTAGTGAGAGTAGTGTAGTGGGTGGAGTGGGTGGAGCAGAGTGAGTCGAGCGACGGAAGAGGGTGTAGTGAGAGTAGTGGAGTTGGTGGAGCGGAGTAAGTCGAGCGAGGGAAGGTGTAGTGAGAGTAGTGGAGTAGGTGGAGTGGGTGGAGCGGAGTGAGTCGAGCGACAGAAGAGGGTGTAGTGAGAGTAGTGTAATAGGTGGAGGGAATGACTGGATTTAAGTGGACTGACTTACTGACTGAGTTTGGTTTGACGCCGCTTTTAGCAATATTCCAGCAACATCACGGCGGGGGACATCAGAAATGGGCTTCACACATTGTGCCCATGTGGGGATTCGAACCTGGGTCTTCGGCGTGACGAGCCAACGCTTTAACCATTAGGCTACCCCACCGCCCCTGGTTTAAGTGGAGTGGGGAGGAGGGGAGAGTGGAGTGGAGCGGAGTGAGTTGATGGGAGCGGAGCAGAGTGATTGGAGAGGAGTGAGAATTTTTAGTTATATGAAACATTTATTTTACCAAACTGGTATTTGGGACACTTAAAAAGTGTAACATTAAACTTAACATCTTCACTCATGCACTGTATCTTATCATTAACTATTCAGTTACCTTTACAGGTATGTAACAGGATGCAAATCCTGCCTTTACTTCCTGATACAGATATCTCTGGAGAAACATTGTGTGACTCTCTCCGCACCCATTCCCGTCGCCACTGTAAGGAGAGAACACTTTTTGCTAGACATACATAGGCGAGGTTGAAGAAACATTGACTTACTAATTACCTCATTTCTTATAAACCATGAAAATTTTTAAGAATAAATAGGAATGGCAGTTTCATTTAGTTATGTTAACGTAAGCTATACCAAAGGTCGATTATATGAATGTGCATTTAACTTTTAGGCTGTTGAGAACTTCTTGGGTTTAGTCTGTTACATAACTACACATCAATGCAGAAATCACATGGAACAAGGATATGGGAACAGGCTAGACATGTTACATTTTCTTACCAGAAGTTTCCCTGTATTAGGTTCTGTCGATACATGACAAGATTCACCTCATAGAGAAAGAACAGTGAACACTGTGTAGAAACAACTCCTGTAAACTTGTGACATTATGACACTTTATAATGCTAAAACAGTAAACAATATCTATATTGTTATTCATCTTGCGTACTTACCTTGTTCTCAAAGAATGCTCTTGGAACTCGCATAGTTTCTGAAGTCGAACGCTGCTATTTTCTGTACTTGAATCAAAATTTTCTTTTTAGTAGATTCAATTTCACCATATACATAGAATATTTTTCATGTCAAGGAGGATAACATTATTCAGTCTACAGTACACAGAAAATAGCTCCTTAAATGTTATGCTAGATGAGTGATATATCTGTTTCTGGCACCCTTTAACTTTCGTTACTGTACTTGCAGTTTGTGCTAAAATCTCTCAAGTTTGCTGGACTGAAAATGTAAATTGGCATTATTTTCAGCATTTTTTGTCTCACTTTATGGACTGGAAGTGTGTGTGCTCTTACTTGACAAGAACAAATTTTGCCAGACTTGGCTATTAGACTGGTGGGTAAAGTCGAGGACTGTACTTCAGTTTCTTAGGATATGTTCATAGAATTTATGAATCGTTGGATATTGTTCTCACCCCAGGAACCTTATTAGTTTTCATCAGGATTGTTTCTAAATATTGTGTAGTGTATCATTCCTAATTGAGTTTCTTTTGATGTGAGTTGTTCTTGGATATTTTTTTCTCATTCTACTATTGCATTCTCTGTCATATCAGTTTTCTGTGTATCTCATCTTCTGTGTTGTTTCTCCAAGATATAGTATATATTTTTAAAGACTTGATAACATGCCTTCATTGACACTTCTAAAGTTTTCTCTAATACTGTTTTGAAATTCTGTAATGATTATTTCTTGCTCAATGAGAGTTTTTTTTAAATCGCTCAATAAATCATCAATGTATCTGAAAGGTCATTTTCCATATCACTCATATCAGGTTTGGGAACACATAATTCGTTGATAAATTTATATGTGTTTTTCTTTATATTTCAAGTGTAACATTTCATGTTTCAATTCACTTCAAGCACAGTTTAGGTCATAAGATTCCAATTCATTTAGCTTCTGGAATATCTATACAGTGTGGTAATTTCCTAAATCAGTTGAGGGGGTCAAAAACTAAATTTCAAGCCCCATGTTACTACTATTATCAAATTCTTGAAAACACATGGGGTCATCCTTTTGAAAATATGTATACATTTGTAAGAGATAATCTCAAACCTTCAATAGATCTTCATTTCCCACCTTTGTCCTTTTCAACTGGATAATGCCAAGGATAAATAGACTTGACAGAATTTCTCATACAAATATCATTGAAATTCCATCCATATATATAATTACAAATAACAACAATGATACATAGAATTAAAATAATAAGTATACCAATAATACGTCCTTCACAAGGAATGTATAACAGTGGGGAACAATCCATCACAAAAATTAATTGGAAAAATTGCAAGAAATGGTAAATTACAGTATTTTTATCATTGCAGGCTGATATTACAGAACAGTTCAGTCAGTGGTCATAAATCTGGTAGAATTTAAATGAAATATTAACTTACCAATTTGTGTTAGCATTCAGGTGAAGATGGCCATTCTTCTTTTTCTTCTTCTTAGAAGTTATTTCTATGTCAGTGCCTGTACTCTGACAACTGTTCATGAAGGAAACATTGTACTATCTGATAAAGGTATTCTGAAACCTTTGGTTATAAACCCAGAGGTCAAATGTTCTTACACTCTTAATTAATTCCATCAACCCTCAACTAGTTACCAGTTAGACACTGACACTGACACTGGGGATGGGTAGAGGAGGGAGGGGGGTCTTGGCATCTGAGGGAGGAAGTGGTGCAAACAGTTCACAGCCTAATTTGGTGGCATTTTACAGCAGCTGTGATTGGGTAATTGGGAATACACATTCATTTTTGACATGACAGTAACTGCAAGAATTAAGAGCAAACACAAATGTTGTTCCCATTGGGTGATCAGTTTGGTTTAGGTGTCTCATGTATATATAGGAGTTTAATTAGCTAAAGTCGTGTGTGTGTGTGGAATTCTTTTACATCACTTTAATACTTTGTTAATATAATCTTGAAATAGAAATATTTAAGAGTGTTTTGCTACATAACATCAGAGACCATATAATATATTATATGGTCTCTGATAACATCAAGGTGAGATGAATATATTACATGTTACCTACTAGTGTGTTAATACCGCCAACCATGCACAGTACATTTTTGGTGTATAACAAAGCATATCTGTTACACCAAACACATGCACACCTTTTACATGTTACCTCCCCCAATAAAGAAGATGCTTTCCTTACACTTGAATGCTATGTTATGTAGATGTACCATAAAAAACAGTCACATTTCATTGTTTTTTAAATGAGTCCAGGTATACAATTATACAGTGTCATATCTGGGTTGTATTTCTCACTTGTGCTGCAAACATTGTAATATGTATTGCAGAAAACAAACTGCAGTATTTGACAGATGATATTATGTACTATACTAGTATATCAAAGGTTGATTATAATCAATGAATTGCCATCATCTTTGGATATGAGTGTTTGTCTGTGTCTAGACTTGCTTGAACTGAATTGGTGAAAGTGGAATTGGTTAAAACCGTCTGTTAATGGCTGAATCAACTGAAGAGAGACCAGCTTGAGTTAGCACTGACTGTGCAGACTTGCCATAAACATGTCACCAGATGCTTCCCTAATTGCTACTGAGTAGCTGTCTGTTCAGATCTGCTGCTGCTCACCAGATTGTTGAAACAAGAATTCCAAGGAGGAACTGACTCTATGAAAGGTGTGAGAACCTACTGTTTATTTGAGCAAGGTGGTTATCTCATATAGGACATTTTGTGGGAGAAATAATAATATTTGTGAAATAATTTGTAAATCTGTGAATGAATTTGGATGGGAATGTATATGGTTAGGTAATTTCTTAATTTTTGCAATGCATGTAAACAGATAATGTTGTCTTGATTTTAACCCATGTATACAATATGTTGAAAAGTTAAAGTGTGACCCATTAAGGTATTAAATATGAATTTGGATTAATATGTATACTATTGGACAAGTAAATTTAAGAAGGACTGTGGAGTAAGCTCTTACCTTGAAAAGTTTTGTTTGATAGACTGACATGTTAAGCAATCCAGTGATTTTGGTTGTTAAATTTGATAAAATGAATTAAAATATATTATATATGTGGGGTTTTATCACTTGTTTGTCAAGAACAAAGCATTGAAGAAAAAACATGAATAATATACATGTAGTTATAAGTGTGCAGTTATAACTGAAGATGGGAAAGGTAATTATGAAAAGTAATGCTTGCCATTTCCTAACCTATCTAACAATCTTAAAAGGTTATAGGAATATGCTTGAAGTATTGAGCTCTTAGATTGCAGCACAGGTCCGAAGTTTCTTATATTCCATGACTATCATGACCATTTACTTCCTCGTGGCTAATGGTATGACATACCTATGATGCAGCTTCCAAAACAAAAACACTTTTGAGTAGTATTTCATTGTTAAAATGAACAACAATGTCATGTACTGTGTGCTCAATCACAACAATTCAGCAAAATTCTGGATGTTTTCTGTGGAAATAACATTCATTTCATTCTATACAATACAATATTTTAAATGCATACCATTCTAAAGCTGATTTCTTCAAAACTTATGTATTAAAGAACAATAAAAATAGAACAAGAACAAGAAATGTATTCAGTATCAGAGGTCACATGGCCAAGAGTACAAAGCATTGGATCACCCATGTGCACAGGGACAGGTGGGACAAATGTTATTCCATCTTAATGCAGTGAAAATGTATAGCTTTTAAGATATGGCATGTTTTGGTATATAACGCACATAATAATTAATGAAACATTAGCAGACCAGCATTTGTGTATTTATTGCTTACTATATTTAAGATTCTTTTTTTTGTCAGATACCCTACAAGGCTAAATATATTTGGGTATGACATGAAGCAGCATAGTGGCACATATGTTACTGATATTGAATATCTTAAGATATTTGGTAAAAGTGTAGGTCCTGGATGTGATTTTAATTGTTTCTCTTGCAATATAGAAATCTATAAATTGTGAAAGAATAGTGATAATGAGTAGTTTGGACTGCTTGGTATTCTTCAATAAAATATTTGTTATGCAGATCAGGAGCAGGTATGTGGAAATATATGAGATAACCAACTTATATCCAGTGCAAATCATCAACCATAGGAATGTTCAGTAATAGACGGTAGAAAAACGCCTATAAATGGGTTCGGTCATAGAAATACCAGCACGTATATATGTCTAAAGTGAAATGGTGTGTGAGCATGCCCTTATGATTAAGGCACTTAAGAAGAAGAGCGAGTGAGTGAGTGAGTATGGTTTTATGTTACTTTTAGCAATATTCCAGCAATATCACAGCGAACCAGGGTCTTGGGTCTTCGGAGCCTTAACCACTAGGATACCCCACCTCGCCAGAAGAAGAAGAAATTATTTTCTCAAAGTGTCACATGCTGTGGTACAAATTGTATAGACATAGTATGATACATTAAAAAGAGCACCCAGCCAGTTGGCCTACGAGACACTAATTACTTAATGGTACAAATAAAATATAAAAGTGAATAAGATAGTTATAACCACACACGCATGCACGCACGCACGCACGCACGCACGCACACACACACAGTAGGTAGGTTGTGTCAAACACCGATAAATGTTTTAAGCAGCTATGAAGATATATGTGACCTGCATCTGCATACATAATGCTGCATATCCAATACAACAAAGAAACCATTCTCTTCCCCGCCCCCACCCATCCCACACCCAATTCACGGGGTCATTTTGTAAATATTTCACTCTCTCTGACTTGTTAAGTTATAATAAACCCACGCCATGCCGATATTATCTTATTCTCATCTATTTTTGCAATCTTTTGCTCAGATTCTACATTCAAATTTCGGGCTAGTGAATTATTTTGTGGGCTAGTAACTTTCAGGCATAGGTAGCCCGACTGGGTAACAAAATTTGGAAACCAGTTCGCACACTGACTTGTAATATACTCATGCCAATAATGGTTGTCCCCCCCCTTCAATTTTTTAATTGGAGAGAGGTGTGGGGTGTTGGTGTGATGTGTGTGTGGGGGTTGGGGTGGGGAGGGAGGGGTGACAACCATTATTGGCATGCTATGCACACCCTCCCTCACCTTCAGTCTGAATGAATAGAACATAGCCGGTGTACAACCTCTCCCGTCTTTCATTCTGTGGGGGTTAGTTTTATCTCCGATATACCCTTCCCGTCTTTCATTCTGTGTGGTGTAAGTTATATATCCGATATACCCTTCCCGTCTTTCATTCTGTGTGGCTTAGTTTTTTTATCCGATATACCGTTCCCGTCTTTCATTCTGTGGGGGTTAGTTTTATATCCGATAGACCCTTCCCGTCTTTCATTCTGTGTGGTGTAAGTTATATATCCGATATACCCTTCCCGCCTTCAATTCTGTATGGTGTAAGTTATATATCCGATAGACCCTTCCCGTCTTTCATTCTGTGAGGTGTAAGTTATATATCCGATATACCCTTCCCGTCTTTTATTCTGTGAGGTGTAAGTTATATATCCGATAGACCGTTCCCGTCTTTCATTCTGTGTGGTGTAAAGTATATATCCGACTGACCCTTCCCGCTTTTCATCCTGTGAGGTGTAAGTTATATATCCGATATACCCTTCCCGCCTTTTATTCTGTGAGGTGTAAGTTATATATCCGATAGACCCTTCCCGCTTTTCATCCTGTGAGGTGTAAGTTATATATCCGATATACCCTTCCCGCCTTTCGTTCTTCGAGGTGTAAGTTATATATCCGATATACCCTTCCCACCTTTTATTCTGTGAGGTGTAAGTTATATATCCGATATACCCTTCCCGCCTTTTATTCTGTGAGGTGTAAGTTATATATCCGATATACCCTTCCCGCCTTTTATTCTGTGAGGTGTAAGTTATATATCCGATAGACCCTTCCCGTCTTTTATTCTGTGAGGTGTAAGTTATATATCCGATATACCCTTCCCGCCTTTATTCTGTGAGGTGTAAGTTATATATCCGATATACCCTTCCCGCCTTTTATTCTGTGAAGTGTAAGTTATATATCCGATAGACCCTTCCCGCTTTTCATTCTGTGGTGTAAGGTATATATCCGATAGACCCTTCCCGCTTTTCATCCTGTGAGGTGTAAGTTATATATCCGATATACCCTTCCCGCCTTTATTCTGTGAGGTGTAAGTTATATATCCGATATACCGTTCCCGCCTTTTATTCTGTGTGGTGTAAGTTATATATCCGATATACCCTTCCCGCCTTTTATTCTGTGAGGTGTAAGTTATATATCCGATATACCCTTCCCGTCTCTCATTCTGTGTGGGTTAGTTTTATATCCGATTTACCCTTCCCGCCTTTCATTCCATGTTGTGTAAATTATATATCCGATATATACCCTTCCCGCCTTTATTCTGTGAGGTGTAAGTTATATATCCGATATATACCCTTCCCGACTTTCATTCTGTGAGGTGTAAGTTATATATCCGATTTACCCTTCCCGCCTTTTATTCTGTGAGGTGTAAGTTATATATCCGATATACCCTTCCCGACATTCATTCTGTGTGGTGTAAGTTATATATCCGATATATACCCTTCCCGACTTTCATTCTTTGAGATGTCGTATGATGACAATCAATGACTGTTTACCAACAACATCGCACACCTGTAATACTGCTGAAACAAATACATGCTCATGATATAGTCAGAATTGTATATTCGACTCTGCTTTTAGTAGAAATTACTTATCGACGTGGAAAAAGTTTGGCCTCTTCTATTGATATATCCGATATACGCCCTTCCCTCCTTTCATTCTCTGTGATGGAAGTTATATATCCGACACATAACCCCCCTTGCCTTTCAGGTTGAATGATAATTACAATATTTTGTTTTCAACACTTTTATCTAAGGGATAGTTCATAATTGATGGGTTGTGAAGCTGGTCTTTATGGAGAAGCATGTGCAACGTGAATGACCCACTCCTCTTACAATTTATTTACAAAGTAAGTGACATCCCCCATGCAGCATGTAAAGTACAAAATCAATGACCGCTAACCCCGGCCCCCACTATTCCCATAATGTTTAAGCATCGTTTTTAAAATTTGTCACTTACAGAATTTCTCTTTCTTTCTGTCTCTCTCTCTGTCTCTCTCTATCTGTCTCTCTCTCTCTCTCTCTCTCTCTCTCTCTCTCTCTCTCTCTCTCTCTCTCTCTCTCTCTCTCTCTCACACACACACCACCCCTAGTATTTGTGTACAAAATTGATGTCCCTTCTACCTCCCCAGAACAAAGTGGGTGACCCCCCTAAAATCATCATCACCCCCAGCCATAAATTATGAACGGTCCCAAATGTGATTTGTTTGGCTTCAGCTTTGAGCCGTACCCAATACAGCTGAACTATGCAACCAATTTAAAGTAAAGGATTATGTATAAATGCAGCAAATTCGGTCACAAACACCTGAATACGGACATTTTTTCACAGTTACATAGCAAATTACGACAAAAATCAGAATTATTTCAGAACACAAAGGGGTGTTTGAACTATTTCCATTAACGTGGCCGATTATATGATATTTATTACGTGATGTAAATTGATGCTTGCATTACAAAACAACACAGTTAATGAAAATGAAACGTCGTACACCATGAGAGGTTTGCTTGAGTGGGAATTGCCACACGATATAAACGATTGAATAACTGACGAGTACAAAAATAATTAGAAACTCTTAAGGTGCTTCCAACCTATATTGGAAAATTAAATGTTAGCTACATATTTGCAGAGGAATATGGAAATATGTAACTGATAATTTTCAGTGTCTCCTCACAAAAACATTAACTAAATCATATTCCGCGCATAGATCGCCTTAAGTTTTAGAGTTAACCGGGAGCAGTACTGCAGTAAATAGGGTTTTACGAAATTGTGGACTGTTTATCCCAGTTCTGGTCGTATCCCAGTTCTGGTCGCTACACACGAGAAGTATGAAGAAACCAATTGTGCATTTTCCATAACTGAATTTGTGGAAATGATGATGAAAACTGTCAATTCCAACATTCTTATAGCTTGCAAGTTTATGTAAGAAATTGAATAACTCACTACTAATGAACTGAGTGAACTAAACTCACTCACTAAACCTGCTGGTTCACATGTCAACCCGCTGGTACAAAAGTCATATTTCGTTTCCTGAGTGGAGACATTTTACATTTTGTAGAAAACCAGTGTATTGATCCCTTAAAACAACACCGTTTTACCAACATCAAACATCAACTAAATTTGACAGAATTGTTTACTTAAGGTGTTCTGGCACTAACCCCTCGATTAGTTTACTTAAATAAGTAGTAATGTTGAACATGAAATCAGTGATTAGAGATCAATAGCAGTACAACTGCATCACAAAAGGTTATTCCCCGATTTTCCAATATAACCATTTCTAAACACGACGTCGCCCGCGACGTCGTAGGCGACGTCGCCATCGACGTCGTGGACGACGTCGATTTTGTATTTTTGTCGTAGATCATTCTTGTGTATTTCTGCACGACGTCGTGGACGACGTCGTACACGACGTCGTGGTCGACGTAGTCTTTTTTATGCGACGTCGTGGGCGACGTCGCCCACGACGTAGTTTTTTTTACGCGCCACGCGATGGCAATTATAGGACACCATAATTATGTATATCAACAATAAGAACTCTAACAGATCAAAAGATTCGTGAAATAGTTCAGTCTATACACTCATGGGCTGGGGATCCTTGGGAAAAAAGAGAAATTGAAAGAAGTAGTGGTAAAATCCTTCCTAAATTTCCAAAAATTTCCAAGCCTTGGAAACATCATCTTTCCAATTTTGGAAATTTTTGGAAATCACCATTTTTTTTCTTGTGAATGTTACAAGGCTCGGATTATGTGTAACTCGTGATGTCACTCTGCACTCTCTTGCAAAAACAAATGTTGATACATATGAGTGTTGTTTGACTGACGTGATTGTGTATCATTTCAAAGAGATAACACAGAAGGTAATCTGATCCATTGCATGATTATGGCAATTGAAAACTGATGCAACGGGTTATGGTGAAAACGGACCCCAGCAAAAACGGCCAAAAAATAATTCGAGAAAACGGCCATCGGCCTCGAGATAACGGCCACCGCTGCTAGAGAAAGCGGCGTTTTCTCTGTATCTCAATGTAACATCTGATAGTGATAGATATTGTTTTTGTCACTTACATGTTGAATTATTTGATATTTATGACATATCTATGCAACTATTTTAAATCTATAAAGGTTATTTTTCTTTTGTTTTTTGACACATTTTGTCTTTACTTACAAGTAGTATTGTCAATACAAACGAACTATCTTTGATAGTGGATTCGTTTAACTGTCGAAAGTCGACACACATTCTGAGTTTTCCATTCTATTTCTTCAAAGACCTGTATTGGAAGCCAAGGACTATAAGATTTACGTATAACTCCACAGGCCAGCCATTGTTTAAGATGATCTTTCACCTCCTGAAACATCGAGGGAGGAATACGTCGATGCCTCTATTTGAAATGAGTTTCATCCACTAACTCAGTACGATGCTGTACAGCAGTTGATTCCTCAAGATCTAATTCTCCACTTGACAAGACATCAATATACTCTGAAATGAGCTTAACACCTATATCCAACTCCCCTGTGGTAAGTCTTTTGTCATTGATATCAATAAGGTTTAAAATAGACTGGGTACTGGATGACTGATTAAGCTCTGTCTCGATAGATACTCTTTGAAGTTCACAAAGAACAGGCCTTGATGAAACAACAACAGTACGAGTGGTAACATTTGACAAGTGTGCCTGGAAAGGATCCTGCTTCTATATTTGTACAACATGAGTGTTGGGGAAACATTGATGCCTGATGGAATATTTGCACCATAGTGTGGCAAGAGCTTGTGGATAATTGATTTACTTGTCAACATAACCCTGGACAATAACTTGTGAGTTTGTTGGAATAGCTATGTTCCTGTTTTTGGCACTCTTGACAAGTCCTTATCTCCAATCATTCTTTGCTAGTTCCTCCTCACCAATGACCATATTTCTAAATGTCAAATACCATGGGGTGTGAACTGATGTTTTCTGTAGAAACCTAGGACCCATTGTTGACTTACATCTTTTGCATCAAGGTTGACAATACATTGGTACCCAACAGTATTGGAACTGACAAGTTATATATGCTGTCTGCTACAATTAGTAATAAGCAAGGTAAAGTGTCCTTTGAATCAAGACCTGGGACTAACAGCTCACTCTCAACATATCCTAAGTATGGCAATGTTCCACCATCTGCACACTCGATATCCAAAATACGTTCGGGTTGATGCAATGGAAGATGAGAAAAGTGATTCCTGTAGAAAGATCCATTGACAATAAATACTGTGGAACCTGTATCAAGTAAAGCTGTGCATACTGTATCACCTTCTGTGACACTGGCTTCATTTGCTGTCCCAATAAATCTTTCTGGAGGTGTGTTGGAAATGGTTCCTAGCGTGCTTGTGGATTTGCCCATGAGTCGCCGATCCAGTAATGGTCCATAATATGCCCGCATCCGAGAAAAACTGGCCTATCTTTCCACACTGCCAACAAAAAATGCCTTGAGAAACAGCTTCCTGGTAAGGTAAGTATAGAGGACCGAGATGACAAGTAATCAGGTGTGCCATGACTAGAAAATGAGCCTCGATTAGGTCTGCCTTTTCCTATAAATGCAGAAGGAGATGGACTCTGAGTTAGAGTAGGAATGTTAGCTAGTGGCTTTTTAATGGCATCAAACTCCGATGTTAATTGTTGTACGATGCCTTTCAATTCCTGGCAATCTTTGTCAGAAGATTTAGCAGCCATTTTAGAGGGGATCGGCTTCCTAGAACATGATTTGGGCTTCCTCTGATTCAACTCAATCTCAACCCTTCTAATTATCCCCCGCAACGCGTTTTGCGGGGGGTATTAAAATTGACTCCGTCCGTGCGTGCGTGCGTCCGTCCGTCCGTCCGTGCACATTTGTCTTTTCCGGAGCAGAACTCTAAAACCGTTCACTATTTCTTCACCCAACTTGGCACATAGATAGATCTGGTGGTGTACTGGTGCCTTTTGGTAGTTTTGGAATTCTGATTAAAATATTTTTGGCGTTTCCATGGCAACAAGTTCGACTTTGACTGAAATTAGTGGTAGTGCTCTTTTCCGGAGCAGAACTCTAAAACCGTTCACTATTTCTTCACCAAACTTGGCACGTAGATAGATCTGGTGGTGTACTGGTGCCTTTTGGTAGTTTTGGAATTCTGAATAAAACATTTTTGGCGTTTCCATGGCAACAAGTTCGACTTAGCCTGAAATTAGTGGTTGTGCTCTTTTCCGGAGCAGAACTCTAAAACCGTTCACTATTTCTTCACCAAACTTGGCACATAGATAGATCTGGTGGTGTACTGGTGCCTTTTGGTAGTTTTTAAATTCTGAATAAAACATTTTTGGCATTTCCATGGCAACAAGTTCGACTTAGCCTGAAATTAGTGGTAGTGCTCTTTTCCGGAGCAGAACTCTAAAACCGTTCACTATTTCTTCACCAAACTTGGCACATAGATTGGTGTGGTGGTGTACTGGTGCCTTTTGGTAGTTTTGAAATTCTGAATAAAATATTTTTGGCGTTTCCATTGCAACAAGTTTGACTAAAACAGAAATTAGTGGTAGTGCACTTTTCCGGAGCAGAAATCTAAAACCGTTCACTATTTCTTCACCAAACTTGGCACATACATAGATGTGGTGGTGTACTGGTGCCTTTTGGTAGTTTTGGATTTCTGAATAAAATATTTTTGGCATTTCCATGGCAACAAGTTTGACATAGACTGAAATTGGTGATAGTGCTCCTTTTTGGAGCAGAACTTTCAAAACCTTTCAATACTCTCCTTCCACTTTTCTATATACACACCTAAATATTTGACATAATCATAACTCGTAGACATAATCATGAAGAGTATTTTGCCATTGCGGGGGATATTGATGACTTTGTCTTCTTGTTGCTACACGTAACTCATCAAACACTTCAACTCTTTATCATACTTGTGACCAGACACATCCTTCAAATTCGGTTTAAGACCATGCCTTGCCTTGGTAAGTCTCACAAGGTGATGATTTGCTAGCCTTAGCATACGGGTCTTCAAGACTGCAACCCCAAGAGGAAACGTCCTATTCTGCCATCTGTTTAGCACTATAGAATCTTGCCATCAGGGATTCACTTTCGTTACAACTACCATAACACTTGCAAGTTTAACTAACAATGAATCAGCGGTAGACTGTGGACCTAAGAGTGAAGCTATTTTACCAGCCTTTCCATTTGTAGTAAGTCGAAGCATAGAAAACTAAATACCACCCGCCTGTCTGTCAGCCTGCCTTTCTGTCTATGTAATATAATATGTGAGCTAGAAGCGTTCAATAACCCATGTACTTGGGACGTATAACAGTAATGTCACTTGTCTGCACTGTCTATATTTCCGACGTATCCTATTTATGGGTTGCCATTCGCCGAGCAGAATAGCACACAGGATATTACATTATATATTGCAGTTGTCCTCCTGAGAGGGTACGTAAGTCCCAACATTTTCAAAGTCAATTTAAACTTACCAGGGTTTTTAAACGTAGTATTCTTGTTATTTTAAATTGGCTAACATTTCTTACAGTCGCCAGCAGCTGAAGGGACGGTGTAAATCCAACTAGGGCCCATGCAGGTAGCAAAGATACTGTAAGTCCCCATGGTCCCTAGTATGGTGATCTACCTTCAGTTGTTGGCGATCTATAGCCTGTTTCTATATTGTATTGTCCTAATAGTGCTCTTAGTTATAACTTTCCACGCTAGTTTTAATTCTATTTGTGATATTCTAGTTGTTTTACTGTCCTTCGTCGACAGGTTTTATAATATACATAGATTCCATTTCAATGTCAAATATGTTTTCGTCACGATATGGCTGAAATATTGCCGATGTGACGCTAAATATTAACTCACTCACTCACTATTGCAGTTGTCAACCCTGGTGACAAGCTTGTCACCTTCCTGTAATTCTAACTCTAGACAAAGCCAACCTAAAGATTCGGGAGGTTCTTAAGATTAATTTGAAAAACTCTAGACAAGCCATGTGGCAGAACCCCAACCTACAGATTCAAGAAGTTCAGGGCGTTATCTCAAAATTAATTAGAAAGACTCAAGACAAATCATGTGGCAAAACCCCAGCCTACAGATTCAAGAGGTTCGGGAAGTTATCTCAAGATTAATTAGAAAGACTCAAGACAAATCATGTGGCAGAACCCCAGCCTACAGATTCACGAGGTTCGTGACGTCGTCTCACGCACCACATGTCAAGCTCTAGACAAGTCAAATGCCAGAACCCCAACCTACAAATTCACGTAATTGATGGAATAGATAAGCATAATACAATGGCTGCTTGAATGGTTTCCAGTTCCAGTAATAGACCACACACAATCCACACTAAAACACCAAAATTTCGAACACACAGGCCTTGATGTTGAAGGACTTCATCATAATATATATTTGAATATAATTATACCATGCGTCGGTTATCTCGACTGAAATCGGTCTGTTTGTGTTGAGCAATGAAGACCACATAAACTTCACAAAAACGTTTCGCTATATCATTCCATGACTACGTGAAATACTCGAATTTGACAATCAATAAAGTTAGACACAATCAATAGATATAGTCTGTTCGGGTCAAAATGATGCGATTAATCACAATCTCCAAATCTTTTCATGATCACACATTCATTTCAACGCAGAATGTAATGAAAACATCAGACCAACTCTGGAAAAAAAGTTTCATAACGTTTGTCTCAAAAACAAAAAGTTACTTAACAAACTATCATCATTTTGATTTGTTTTTTCCGTGTGAAGTTTCACGAGGGTGAAGTAACAGTAGTACTGTTGTAGGAACAGCTGCAACCTCCAGGGCCCTACATAGATAGTCAGCTGTTATGTTGAAAGTCCTCTTAAACAAGACATGCAGCAAAAACTTAAAACTGTCAGGTTTGGGGGATTTATTGAGATATATCATGTTATCTTACAACCTTGGACTACATCGACATACGAGCAGAATAGTCCTACGCCCGTGTTTTGCATGAGTGAGTCTCGGCGTGACGAGCGAACGCTTTAGGTACGAGGCTACCCTACCACCCCTTGCTGTGTATGACTGCGCCCACAGTGTCGGTATTGAAACATTTACTCCCAATGACAGTGTTGTTTTTGACGCGTGATTACAACCTGTACATTTGTAACTGTTTACAACCTTCGGGAATAAATTATGAATGTTTTCATGATAACCTCAACCCCTGACCAAAACGCAAAGCGTACTATATTGACGTGGAGAGTGTCTTTTCTCACGACATGTCCACTACGCCACTTTCGTCTTACAAGCGCTACATAAAGACGTCTTGATTCACTTGAAATGGAAATTACCCTGTGTAATGCTGGAACTGGAATAAAACCCAGACCCGATGCTTCATTTGGATTAATATGAACGGTGTGTGAACTGTTGGTACGTGCTAGAGTGAGTGAGTGACTTTAGTTTTACGCCGCACACAGCAATATTCCAGCTATATGGCGGCGGTCTGTAAATAATCGAGTCTGGACTAGACAATCCAGTTATCAACAGCATGAGCATCGATCTGCACAAATGGGAACCCATGACATGTGTCAACCAAGCCTACGAGCGTGACCTCTTACAACAAGCATGGGTTACTGAAGGTCAATTCTAACCCGGATCCTCACGGGTAGGTGCGTGTTAGAGTCATGCGAGGGCTACATGAGCTGCTGAAGGCGGGGTTACCGAGAGACGGCGTCGTTGCATTTCCCAGAGTG